AGAGGAAGGGGGGGGGGTGAGACGGAGAGAGCGCGCGCGCGAGTCGATTCATTTAGTTGTCGTGGCCTCGCAATAACCGGCAACGAACCGAGGTTATTAAATTTGTAATTAGTCGAATATTACGTTCGACGTCGCGGCGCTCTTCGTGTCTACACGTCTACGATTACGGCGCCGCGGCGTCCGCGCCGTGCGTATCCGCGCGTGTACGTGTGCCCGTGTATTCGCGTGTGCGAATACGTTAATACGGGTTTCATTATGCGCGCGTAATACGGCTCCTACGCTCACGGATCTCGACGATACGCGAATAATTAGTGATCGCGGCCCTACCCTCAGCCGGGCGCAGGTTGCCTCGTGTGCGGCGGAGAGTCCGCGTTTTCTCCGACGGAGGAATAACGAGGCGCCGTATCCACCAGTCGAAATTACAGTCTCGTTAGCCGTGAACGGGGAGGGGGAGAGGGATGTAGCCGAACGTTTATATTAAATTCGGTTCTGCGTCGTCGCAATTATTAATTCGTTGATAAATAATCGCCCCGGGCTCGCCCACGCTTTGCGCTTTGCGCGAAACTAATAAGCCGCGCCGAAAACGCGCGCGCGCCCTTCTGTATCTTTAGCTTTAATTTTGAGACGGTAATGACGGACACCGCGGGGATTCTCTATCCGACCGTTCAGAAATGGCCGACACGAACAGCGGGAGTTCATTAAGAGGCGGCGTGGTTTCGTAGAGACCGAGCGAGCGAGGCGACCGAGGATTCTAGATCATTTTGCGAAATCGGATCGCACTCGCGAGTCCTCCCGGGATGGAAAATCGCTCGCCGTTACGCGATTCTAAATGGATGGCACAACGCCGTCGTATTCGATAATGCGAGTCCTCCTTCCCTCGTGAAGTCTCTCCTTCTCTCGGTCATATTTTTCCGATCGGCATTCCGGGGAGACGAATGTTTTTTCGGCCGCTTTGACGTTTTCGATCAAAACGGGACGCGCGACAAACAATGGGGAGGGATTTCCACGTCCACCAAACGCATCGTGCGCATAACGCATCCGATAATGACGATAGCAATTGTAATTTCGGCACGACAAAGGGCCTCTGTAAAATGGCGAAGGTATGTCCCCGCGCTCTTCGATCCGGGGCGACCGTCCAACAGCTTTTTTAATAAACGATGCACGTGCCATCGGCGTTCCAGCATTCACATACGCCAATGAATTTTTATCACGACGCGTCGTCGCATGTCGCGGCGTGTAAACATTTTTTTTTTTACCCTAAATCGCGAATCCCCAATTATTCGCGCGTTTATCCCGTTATCGAGTAACGGGAAGCCCGAACGTCGTAATACCGATCGACACACTATTACATTCATAACTGCTGCCAGGCGAACGAGACGAAAATATTTTAGGGCCGCTAATTGAAATGAAAATTTTAATCACCGTCCAAAAAAATTTCAGCCTACTTTGCATACGATAAATTCTCAGAAGATAACATTGAAAATAATTCGCCATTTTTTAATTAAACAGTTTGCCGAATTAAGAGATACGCCGGTTAGTCTGACGTAATTCTCTTTGTTAATTCCGTATACAAAATTAATTTCGTTAGAAAGGCGAAACCTTTCCTCCTCACGCGCGTACACGTCTCGAGGGTCGCCTCCTCGTAGATATTTCGTCCAAGTCGAAATAATAAACGACCTGGATCTGCGAGGAGGGTTGTAACGTGATCCAGAATGCGCGCCTCTGCGAGTCCGGAGCGAAAATTCCACCCTTAGGGCCGTGACATTCGAGGCGAAAGGGGTTCCGCGGCTCTCGTAACGAGTGTCCTCGTTGCAGGCGCAACGCGATCTCGAAAGGACCACTTCGCACTGCAATTGTAAAACAGTGTTTCTGAAGAGCCACGTCAACGATCGTGCGAGCTACGACACGACAGACGGCATCGAGATCTCAGCTCCGTTAAATTATTCAATTACGAGTCCTAGATACAATTTCGAGCTCGCGTCAATGTAGCGGAAATACGGATCTAATTCAAACAAATGCAAGGGCAAAGTGGGAAAAAATGGGAGACTTAATTCGAGAATGCGGCGAGACCATAAATTACTCCGGGAGATTCCCCGTTGACGTGGTACAAGCGTCGAAACTCCGGTTCCTTCGCACGAAGGGAAGGCGAATCGTAGGGCGATGGACTCGAATTACAAACGATGCCGTCGCCGACAAAAAGGGCCGGGCGTCCTATTATCCTCTCTGTGTTCTCCGTCAGATCCTTACAGATATTATCCGGCATATCGCGAAAGACGGACAACATTTATCAAACCGTGGGCAACCCGCGAAAAGCCCTCTCTCGGATTCAATCAGCGGATGCCTAACATTCCACGGACGTCAATAGGATGGCTGAAGTAAGACGTTTGATCCTCTGACATTAATTTCTGATTTTCTTCGATTCCACCTCGCGGTTTTTCCCCCGATGAAAATTAATCCCGCTCGCGTGCCGGGAGGCGCCTTATTCGATTATAATTGCGCAAACTTTAATTCCACGTTGTCGTAAATAATTAATATTCCTCTCCTCTCGTTCGTAAACAACCGTTATGTATTCATCGCGAAAAGTTTCAGCGGATTCCTTGACACAAAACAAGAAAAAAATTTTTCTCGTAAACACAGATCCGATCCCTCGACGATGGCATCCGTATACGATATTCGTATAGTATGCCAGCGGTATTGAATAAACGCTGAATGTATCTCTAATAAACACTTCCCCGCTTTGGAATTTGTCTATCGGAAAATAATCGCCGGTATACGGTTAACAAGCGCTATCGCACACAAAATCCATAAACATCATATCGGCATTTTCG